AACTTTAGGTAAATTTCCTTGTTTCCTGAGAGAGAATTCTAAAACTTCAGAATTTCCTGAGTAATTAAGGTGCCCTTATTATGTAAAACCTTCGGATTACACCTGAGGATTTGTGCAAATGAATGGGGGGCTAGCCAGGCCACAGAGACCACCTAATAACTTGATATCAGCTGACCTCAGGAAGGGGGACATGATTCAGTTATGCTAAGGTTAGCCAAAAGGAGCCCTGATGGCATAGTGATTAATGCACTCAGCTACTAACCAAAAGGTCAGTGGTTTGAACCCACCAGCCACTCCAAGGAGAAAGAAGTACCAGTCAGCTTCCTTAAAGATTGTTGTTAGGTGCCATCAAGTCAGTTCTGACCCACAGCAACCCTATGTTCAACAGAACGAAATACTGCCAGGTCCTGTGCCATCCTCGTTGCTATGTTTGAGCCCAATGTTTGAGCCCAGTGTCAATCTGTCTCTCTGAGGGTGTTCCTTTTTTTCACTGGCCCTCTACTTTACCAAGTATAGTATCCTTTTACAGAAATTAGTCCCTCCTGATAACAAGTCCAAAGTAAAGATTACAGCCACAAAGATTACAGACTTGGAAACTGTGTAGGACAGTTCTACTGTGTTCTATATGTCACTATGAGTCAGAAAGAGGCAATAGTTTTTTGTTTTTTGTTTTTTTTTTTTAAGGTTAGCTGGAAGGTAATTTTCTAATTTATACATCCTCTCTTTTCATCTTAAAAGCTCACTGTAACTAGCCTCCAACGAGCCCTCCTGTTTTTCTTAACAGAGAGGTCTCCCTGTATACATACAGATCAACAGCTTGAATAAACCCTATATAGTTTAATTTCTTTTGTACTTTGATTATTTTGACACAGGTTATTTTAGTCAACACTACCAGCCCTCACTCCCCAGGTAATCCCATCCACTCCAGGCTTCAAATATCACTCCTAAAACAGATGACCGTCAGCTCCAGATAGTCAGCTGGGGCAATCTCTAGCCAGTCACTTATTAAGCGTTTCTACTTGGGAGCCTCAAGCAGCTGACAACAAAACCAAGCTTGTGATCTTTCCTTCTTCCATGTTCCCTGTGTTAATAAATGGCAGCACCACCTACCCAGCTGCTCAACCCAAAACTGGGGTGTCACCCTGAACTCACATACCCTAGACAAAACTTGTCACCAAGTCACTTAAGAGTCTGCCCTGAATCTACTCACATGTGTGAACCCCACTGCCACCAATACAGCCTAGACCACTAGGTTGCTCAGACTCTCAAAACCAGCCTGTCTACTTTAGGGGCTCCTCAAATCCATTCTCCACACAGCAACTACAGTTGGGTTTTTTTTTTTTTTTTTTTTTTTGGCTTTAAATGGCATCAGGACACTTTCAGGTGTGAAACTGTCTACTGCCTCCAACAAACAGTCTTAGGATCAGTTGCACAAAATGACTCCCAAGGCCCGGGTACCATTCTCCCCTCAGGTCATACTGGACTTCTCCTTTCCTTGAACTCTCCCTGCCCGGCCTTCTTGTTGTTACAGTGAACCAATCTAGGCTGTAATCTTCACAAGAGAGAGCAGATCACCAGGTCTTTTCTTCTGGGGAGTACCAGACGTTTCAGTTAACAGCTCTTTTCCACAGCCTTAGGGCATACCCTGGAGCCCTGGTGTGCAGTGGGTAAGTGATACAGCAGCTAGCCAAAAGGGAGGCAGTTCAAATCTACCAGCCCCTCCTGGAAACTCTATGGAGCAGTACTACTCTGTCCTCTACAGTTGCTTCGGGTTGGAATCAGCATGATTGCAATGGGTTTGTTTGTTTTGTTTTGTTTTAGGGCATACCATTAATATACAGCATTCTGTGGAGCAGGAATATTCCCCCTTCCACTCCCTCCCTTCCATTAGTTTATGCAGCTCTTATTCGTTTAGGTGTACCTTAAATCTCTCTAAATCTTTCCAGAACTCCTGCCTCCACCCAGTACCATCCTGGCATAGTGTTGTTATTGTTAGGTTGGTTCCGACTCATAGCAAACCTACGTACAACAGAATGAACACTGCCCGGTCCTGTGCCATTCTCACAATCGTTGTTATGCTTGAGCCCATTGTTGCAGCCACTGTGTCAATTTATCTCATTGAGGGTATTCCTCTTTTTTGCTGACCTTCTACCTTACCAAGCATGATGTCCTTCTTCAGGGACTGGTCCCTCCTGATAACATGTACTGAGCACACAGTAAGTGCTCAATAAATTTGGATCGATGGATTCACTTTTCAATTTTGCATCACACAATTCTAAACTTTTACTGCTTTCTTCCTGCTCTCTGGCCTAAGAATGAAATCCTTTGAAGTGTTAAAAATAATCAAAACTCATCGAAATTTGAACATAAGTTTTATTCTGAGCAGTTATTCTATATGCATATATGGAGACCATTTTGATTCCAGAAAAAGCAAATGGCTATAAGAAGTTAGGTACAATGAAGCTTATAAAGAGGAGGGAGAACTACAAAGATCAACCACTGGCTAATCTTAACATGACTGATTGAACCCTGTCTTCCCCCCTTTGGAACCCTGGTGGCACAGTGGTTAAGAGCTCTGGGGAGCTATGGTTGCTAACCAAAAGGTCAGTAGTTCGAATCCACCAGCCGCTCCTTGGAAACCCTATGGGGAGTTCTACTCTGTCTTATAGGGTCACTGTAAGTCGGGTTTTTGTTTTTCCCCTTTACTGAGATCAAGTGATATCAGAGGTTACTTCTGGACAGGCTGCTAATAATTTGGCCCTCCACCCACCTGCAACTCTGAGACTTTTTGAGATATAAATTAGGAGGTAATGGTTTGACAACTATTTTTTTTCTAGCAGAATAAGCCTAAAAAGTTACACTGTTGTAGAGCAGTTTCTAGCAGGCTTTTGCAGTTTGGGTCAGGCTTTTTATGGTTAACTTTGGTTTCGTGGAAAAGAAAAACTTTAAAGTCAAAGTAAGATGTCTGTTACTAATTTTTCTATTCAACAGAAGCCAATATAGTTTTCTTCTAGTATGCAGTACTAGGATAAGCCCCAGGTCACCAGTTGGTAATTCTTAAGGGAGAAGAGGACAGAGATAAGGGCACTGTCCAGCATAGTCTCCACCTGCCTTAGTCCCACCTCTCTGACAATCACTGGGGTTCAAAGTCACTTTAGTAATTTTTGCCTACCTATCCTGAAGGTACTTAGCAAGGTGCCATCAAGTACCAACTCTGATTTACTGCCCAACTCTGCCATTCACCCCTACCTACCTCTGTGCAGACGTGGCATTTAGAAAATTACTGTAAACTTTGTCCCGTCCCCCTCAAGGAATGACTACAAGTAATAAATATGAGGGACCACTCTTCCACTCTGTAGGAAGGAAATCCTCCTTTCAGCCCCACCCCCTCCAGCACCCCACAAAACGTTTGTTTGGCTACTGTTTCCTAACGGAAGTAAGCGATAATTCAACAGCATCTTAAGTGGTCATTTCTCAGAGAACTGGATTGGAGAGCACAGCAACTGCTCTCCTCAATAATTCACTTCGAAAGATTTTGCTTCCTCAAGAAACCATCAACAAAGGCTATCAAAAGGGACCGCTAGGTTCTGGAATGTCTTAAACTTATAGATGACTTAATAATAAGAGCATGTTTTATGTATGTAAGATCAAAAAGGGTGATTTCGATGTCTACCAAACTACATGGAACACTTAAATTCATATTATCCTCAACCTCCTTAATCCTCTGGTTTGTTACTCTTCAATTTTAAAGGACAATAAAGTGTCCAAGGGCTAATACCACTTCGCAGCTTCAAATCCTCTAGCCCAGCAAGGCGACAATAAACACGTTTCCTCCGCTAAGCGGACACAGAAAAATCTCTCCCAGCTCAGACATCTTAGTTCTTAAATTTGCAAAACAATACCCACTCACTCCCACTGTTTGTGTATGTAAAGATAGTAAAATGGACTAAAGACAGAAGAGCTCTCGGCTCCGATCTAGGGAGACTCCCAGCCAGGGGTACCCTCGTCCCAGCCCGGCGAGGAAGGCGCCCACCTCGCAGAGGGACGATCCTGGCCCGCTATGCGGCACAAAACTCGACCTTAAAAAGCGCAGAAGCTCGTCCCTGCGGAGTGAGCTGCCCAGAAGGCCCGTCCCGCAGCTTTCCATCTCCAAAGTACCATGAAAAGAAATCTTCTCACTGCCCTAGAGAAGCCGCGGGAGCACCCCTGCACGCGCACCAGGCCCCTGCCGAAGACCACTTGCCTCTCCCGCGAAGTCCGGGGCTGCGGAAAGAGGCTGGCCGGCAGGTTCGGGAAGGGGAGTGGCAACCTCGGCTCAGCGGGTCCCTAGGGGACCCTGTTCTTCGGCGCTCCTCACCTGCGCGGGCGGGTCTGGTTAGCCCTCGAACTTGAAGGCCGAGATAGCGTGACCCACCGCCCCGGGAAAGGGTGCATTCTGGAGCCGCGTTCTCACCACCTGGGCGAGCCCGGGGGAAACCCGGTTGTAGACGCGCCCGGAGATACCCGGCCTCTCCGCCCGAGCGCCCAGGATGCCCGGCGCTGCGGCCCGCGCCCGGCGTCTCCCCAGGACACCCTCAACACAAACACTAGCGGGCCGCCCTGCGACCTTCCGCCCTCTTTCCCAAAGGTGGCCTGAGGGAACTTTCCATGGTCCCGCTGCGGGCGGCGGCTGCGCGCGGGGCCCTGAAGTTGCAGTTTACTCTGCGAACCGCCGAGGTCGTCCACCAGACCCCATCTCCGCCAGCTCCGTGCCCTCGCCGGTCTCCCCGGGCCCCCCCTCAGGCCAGCGAGCGCACAGCCAGGCCGGGGATAACCAGGGATCCCAATGTGGCCCCTCGGGCCGACGCCCCCGCCCCATCCCCGAGAGGGACGCGGAGCAAAGTTTTCCCCCGTGGGAAAGTGAAAGTCGCGAGGAAAAGGCCGGGGGCGTCTCGACCACCCGGCGGCCGGTTGGGGGACCTCGGCGTTTCTCGCCGGCCTGTATGGCCAACCCGACTTACGAAAGGGAGTAGGGGAGCCCCGGACGCGGAGTACCCGCGGCTGTAGAGGTTGCCCCCGCCGAGTCCCGGGCTGCGCTCCCTGCTCTGGCCCCTCTGCGGCGCCTGCTCGCTCCCGCCACACTCCCTCGCCTTCTCTTCCGCGGTGCGCCTGGCTGGGGAGTTGCTCTCCCTCGGCCGGGGATGGGAGAGCGCCGAGAGGCCCCCGTGACGTGGTGGAAAAAGGAGAGGCGCACCGCGTGCCTCCCCGAAGCCTCAGAGGGAGCTCCCCGCCCCGTCACTCCGGGGTCCCAGCCCTGCGCTTCAGACAAAGTTCCGAACAGCGGGCGCCTGCCCCCCTCTGGCCAAGTGTCTTCTAGGTTCTGATCCCTCCGCATAAAACACGCAAGAAATCCGAAGTCAGGAGAGCTAAATGACTTGCTCAAAGTCGCGCAGTGAAAGGTGACAAAGCACACTCACATCTGCGACTCCTTGCTTTCTCCCGCATCCCGGGCTCTGGGAGGCTCCGACTCCGCAGGAATCGCCTTGCCGAGATGGAAGTCACTCTCGCTCTCACTGGTAGGACGGGGACAGTGTCCGACTCCGCCTGAAGAAATGGCATTACCATTTAGGAGCAGCGTGGGAAGCTGGAGCTTTTTGCCCAATAATTAGGGTACGAATTAGTTTTCCAGTCAGTGCCTCATGGCCAATAGCCACTCTAAGCCTTCCTCTTCTCGGGGGTGGGGTTGCCTGCCGTGCGGGCGAGGTATCCGGCCCCAATCCCTCTCACCGAATACTTTCAAGAAAGCACACACCCACTTAGCCTGTTGGGCAGTACAGCATCTACCATTCGGCCTTTGCGCCGTAATGGCAGGATCTTGTGAATATGCTAACTTTGTAGAGCGGAGGCGCTGTGCTGTGTTGCAATTCCCACGCTTTCAGACGCCTCCAGCAGCGCTCCACGTCCTTCCAGGCCAGACGCTTCCAGGGCCTGCCTTACAGCGCAGGGGGTGGCAAGGACACCAGACAAGTCGATCCCACTTGATTTTTCCCTACCTTCCTTCGGTCAGTCTGTATGGACTGAGGGCCTGCTGTATGCCTGGCCGGTCGACGGGGAGCCGGTACTACCCGCTAGGACCCGGGACCCTAGCTGTTGGGGGATGAGCAGGGTGCACAGCACTGAACTGTTCTTTCCTTCTTCACTCTGTGCAGGGAATCCCAAAGGGGGAAGCCCCGCAAAAGACGCCATGTCCTTACACCCAGTAGCCAGGAGTCTGCCCATAGTAGCAGAGAGACTCAGCCGATTCTGCCTTTTAAAACCCACTTTGCTCAGGGAGCAAGTGTTCTAACATCCATTTTACACGCTTTCAAGCAAATGACCAGCTTTACACTCGTTTCCGTTCACTGACACCTCGTCCTGCTGAGTCATTAGAGGTCACACAAGTCACGTTCCTAGCCTCCTTATCCTCGCCCTCATCTGCAGGTGACCGCGATAAAACAACCGGGGCACTGTTGTAAGCAATTCACGCAGATTAACTCTTTCAAGCCTCACAACTTTAGGAGGGAGGTGCTATTTTTATTGATTTTACAAATGAGGAGAGGGAGGCAAGTGAGGTGAAATAAGTTGCAAATATAAGTGGCAAGGTCAGCATTCAGTCTGTCTCTACGTCCATGTTCTTAACCATTGAGGAAACAGGCCTCCACAACTGGAATTCAGATGGTACACCAGCTATATCATCAACCCTGGCTCACACCATGGGAGCTTCCAGTTATCTCACGCAAGGAATGCTATGAAATCTACACACACACAATTCCTCCCAAATGGATCCGTTTTTTTATTTTCGATATATCATACCATAAAGTAATTGTAAAAACGGCGTGGGGGTGGTGTCTGATCTCCTCTAACAAGGGGTAAGAAGAATCAGGATCAACAGCCCAAGGGCTGATTCCTATGAGGCAGAGGTCAGACACCGCCTCCTTTCTCTGCCATCTTTACCAATTCTGACACCAACCATCCCTTCCACGGCAGTCTCTACTTCTCTGCTGGGTTTGATAATTCATTGCAATGGCTACACAAAACTCAAAGACAATACTCACAATTATGGGGTTTATTAGGGAAGTAACAGGTTACAATTCCGGTTCAGGAACACTCAGGTTACAGTTCTTCCATCAGGACAGCCTCTTCCCAGCCATGCTCGCAGGAAGGCCTTTTTGGCCCTCAGCCTCTGCCCTGCTTTGGCAAGTGTTACAAAGCTCTTTTAGCTCTGCCAGTAAGTGTCCAGAAGCACTCTGCCAGCAAGCCTCCTGCCCAAAGGCACTCAAGCTTTCTCGCTCAGCGGGCTGGGAAGCCCACCATGCTGTCTCCTGCTGTCGTTTCTCTTCGACCGCTTCTCGAGCTCTCTCTCCCTGTCTCCTGGTTCCAGGAGCTTCTCAGCGCAGGGATCCCAGGTCCAAAGGACATGCTCTCCACTCCTAGCTGTTGTTCCTTAGTGGTGGTAGGATCCTTTCTCTGCTCTGGAATTGGCTCTATTTTAAGACAAAACTGACCAGTCCCCTTGGTGGACTCCAGTTGCCTTATTTGCGCAGTCCTACCCAATCACTTGGGTGGGAGTTACATGACCATGGCAAGAAAGGCCACACAAAATGGATCGATCACACTGCAATAGTTAACTGTTCACTCACTTGCTCCCCTCTCTCTATATCCCAGATCAACTTTCTGTTATAAAAGCAAACTTTCTGTGATGGGACCTTAAAAATATCTTTAACATAAAAGTTTATAAACTTTGTTTTGGATTCTTCTATACTCAGACCATACCCATATCTTTCCCCATTCTTTTTATTCGTTGCCTCCAATTACTCCCTTCCCTCCCGTATAACCTCTCTCCAACCAGGCCCCAGGTTTTCAGAAGGTGGGTTGCCCAAGGCTGGGTGATACTCCCCAGAAGGGCCCTTGCCTCATGCTGTAGCATGCTCATTGTCTTCAGCATCCCTGTATTAGTTTCCCACGGCTGCCATAACAAATTGTCACAAACTGGGTGACTTTAAACAACAGAAATTTGTTCTCTTGCAGTTCTGGAGGTCAGGAATCTAAAATCAAGGTGCCAGTAGGGCCATGATCCCTCTGAAGCCTGTAGGGAGGAATCTTTCCTTGCCTCTTCCTAGTTTCTGGTGGTTGCTTGACAATCCTTGGGTTCCTTAGCTTGCAGCTGCATCAACCAAATTTCTGCCTCCATTGTCACATGCCCTTCTTTCCTGTGTGTCTCTGTCCAAATTTCCCCCTTCTTATAAGGATACCAGTCATTGGATTTAGGACCCATCCTAAATTGGTATGACATCATCTTAACTTGATTACATCTGCAAAGACTCTATTTCCAAATAAGTCATATTCACCAGATATGAATTTGGGGGGGACACTATTCAAGCCAGTACAGTCCCCAGAAGTCACCATTAATGAAAATGTATTTCTTGAGATGAGAATGCAGAGTCCAAATCATGGACCCTGTCCTCAAAGACACTGTAGTTACAGAGGTAATTACAGGTTCCTCCTCCCAGAACATAAATAACCAGTAAGACAGGAGATGCTAAGGGCCAACTGACTGGGGCCAAATGACAATCCATGGGCCAGATGGCAGCTAAGCTCGAGGAATTCAGTCAAGTCAGTCAACCGAGGATACCACTTCACTCCAAGGGGAGAGCAATCTGAGCACAGAGACAGAGGTTTATCAAAATCAGAGCCACAAAGGGAAGATGTGCCTGGAGGGATCTTACTTTTTAAGTTTCATGCAGAAATGAGAGGCTAAAGGAATACAAGTACCTACCATATGCATCTAAGAACACAGTGGATTATTTTTACTATAATATTAGAAAAAAACTGTTGCCGTCAAGTCGATTCTGACCCACGGCGACCCCATGTGTGTCAGAGTAGAACTGCTCCATAGGGTTTTCTTTCCATTATTATTATTTTTTTCCTCTTTTATTATTGTTGTAGTTTGTTTACATTTCAAGTTAGTCTCTCATACAAAAATTTATACATAATTGTTATGTGACCCTAGTTGCTCTCCCTATGCTGTGACAGCACACTCCTCCTTTCCACTCCTGATTTCCCATGTCCATTCAACCAGCTCCTGACCCTCTGCCTTCTCATCTCACCTCCTGACAGGAGCTGCCCTTTAGTCTCATGTATCTACTTGAGCTAAGAAGCACACTCTTCATGAGTATCATTTTATGTCCCACAGTCCAGTCCAATCTTTGTCTGAAGAGCTGGCCTCGGAAACTGTTTTAGTTCTGGGTTGACAGAGAATCCAGTGGCCATGCTTTCCGGGGTTCCTCCAGTCTCAGTCAGACCATTAAGTCTCGTCTTTTTATTAGAATTTGAGTCTGCACTCTACCTTTCTCCTGCTCTATCAGGGACTCTCTGTTGTGTTCCCTGTCAGGGCAGTCATTGGTGGTAGCCAGGCACCATCTAGTTCTTCTGGTCTCAGGCTGATGAATTCTCTGGTTTATGTGGCCTTTTCTGTCTCTTGGGCTAATACCTTCCTTGTGTCTTTGGTGTTCTTCCTTCTCTTTTACTCCAGGTGGGTTGGGACCAATTGATGCATCTTAGATGGCTGCTTGCTAGCTTTTAAGACCCTAGATGCCACTCACCAAAGTAGGATGCAGGACATTTTCTTAATAAACTTTGTTATGCCAGTTGACCTAGATGTCCCCTGAAAGCATGATCCCCAGACCCCTGCTCCTGCTACTCTGTCCCTCAAAGCGTTTGATTGTATTCAGGAAAGTTCTTAGCTTTGGTTTAGTCCAGTTGTGCTGACTTCCCCTGTAGTGTGTGCTGTCCTTCTCTTCACCTAAGGTAATTCTTGTCTACTATCTAGTTAGTGAATACACCTCCCCTTCCCTCCCCACCCTCGTAACCATCAAAGAATGTTTTCTTCTGTATTTAAACCTTCTCTTGAGTTCTTATAATAGCGGTCTTATACAATATTTGTCCTTTCGTGGCTGACTAAATTCACTCAGCATAATGCCCTCCAAATTCCTCCATGTTATGTTTCATGGATTCATCATTGTTCTTTATCATTGTGTAGTATTCCATCGTGTGACTATACCATAATTTGTTTATCCATTAGTCCGTTGATGGGTAC